ATTAATTAAATCACAAATCAGAAGACTATGTCCAATTATTACAGGCACCATAATTTTTTGTATGTTCATTACCAGTGTCTACAGTCACCACTTGGAGCCTTCTGACAGGAAAGGTATCATCTTTTTCATTAAAGCTCAATAGCAAATGTTGGCAGCTGGTCATTCATGACAGACAGGATTTTACTGAAACCATTTAATCTGAAGACTTTTATTTATTTTAAGTCTGTCTTTTGAGCTCTTCTAGGTTCTATTAGAGTCTTACAAAATCAAAGCATGCTGGACTCTGCACCTGACAAAACATTAACGCTGTTTTACACATTTTGGAACAGGATGGGAACAGAGGGGAGGACACAGATTAAGGAGCAGGAGGCACCACAGCACTGTCATTTGGAAGTGCCAAATCAGGCAAGGATCCCCTCTGATCTCACAGATAACTACCAGATTATGAATACAGAAGTAAATCTCCCATCTGCATGAAGGACACCTAAAGAATTCTGTGACGCTTTTCATGCCGTCTCTTCCTCTAAGGGTCCTTAATCTTTGGGAAAGAATAGGCTGCAGGCTGTATCCCAGCTACATGCAGCCCATTCTTCATTCATGTCCCTTATTGCAGCTTTTAAAGTATTTTATACATTATCATATGAAACAATTAGACAAAACCGTCTGCCTTACCAGATTATCGAGCATTCGCATGAGAGCTTCAAATTCCTGTTCGCCAATCTGCCATTTTGGATGGGAAACAGTACCCTCACCTGCTGGAGACTCAGGGGAACGAGACTTGGCTTTATACTTTCCAGGATCTAAAAGTACTAAATTGTCAGGTCCACCTGCACTGGCCAGGGTACGTACCTTAAAAACAATAAAGTCACCTTTTAGTTTCTTGGGAGGGAAAACTCCAAAAACAACAAAAAAATTTACATCAGCAAAACAGAAGAGACCTACTTCATGTTAAAGCTAAATAAATTAACACACTTGTACATAAAAGTTGTCTTAAGACTTGGAAAAGATCTGTTTTAATAGGCAGCATATATCAAATCGATGGCTCCAATTCAATATATGAATATTGTCGGTTAAGCCAATGTTTTGGATGTCCTTGCATAATATAATGATTTCACAGATAACCATGTTAGTTTAGATCAAGAATTTAACCAGTGCAACTATTGATCTGTTTGAAGGTTAATATAGCAGACTGTATTATAAGATACTAAAATTCTTACTTGAATCTCACAGGCAAGCACTAGATTATGAATATAGTAGAAAGCCTCCTCAACAGTCTCTCCAACTGATACTAAGCCATGGTTTCTGAGAATAAGGACCTAGAAAGACATTGCAAAGAAAGTCAACATCAGTAGGGGAAGTGTTGTTTGCTCTTGATCTAGGAACATACCTCCTCCCACCCTCATGCACATACTTTTCTTTCATTCCAAATTTAAATACTGACCTTGCTTTTAGGCCCCAAATTTTTCTGAATAACCACCTTTTCTTCATCATCCACTAAAATACCATGGTAGTCATGATAAGCTATTTCCCCCAGAGAAAGTGCTTCAGGTGAAATTGGTAAGAGACCACACTTCATTGCAGAAACCTGAGAAATATTAAAACAACTAACTTAATTTCTTGAAAAACAGGAGAAAAAACCTGAAATATCATAATGACAAAATTATAATTAAAAAATACTATATATTATATATATGTGTCTGTGTACAGGCACATACATAGTGGTCTTATACTCCATCCCTAAAGCCTCTATTTTTCACAACTTTTGTATTGGATACAAAAATCACGTTGATCTTGGGTCTGACTCAGTATGGCTGGTTTTGTTTGACATCAACACCAATATGAAAAGACTCAGAAAGGAAAAAAAAGAACATAAACCCCAAATCAACTGCATCCTTCATTCCCTTCACTCACACAGAATCACAGAATGTTAGAGATTGGAAGGGACCTCGAAAGATCATCTAGTCCAATCCCCCTGCCAGAGCAGGAACACTCCACTTAGTGATTTTTATTTTATTTTTTTTCCTCCAAAAAGAAGAAATTTAGTGACAAATTTTGACACCGGTAATTCCACAGCATGGCAGGTAAAATTAAGGAATATCTTTAAGGACTACTCTACTATTCACAGCATTAGGAATCTGATCATTTATCCATAAAATGGTTGTATCATTGCTGTTAATCAGTTAAAAAAATATGTATTTTCCAATTCTAGGGCTCAATGCACTGTTTGACCACTCATGTAACAACCGAATAAGGAGGATCTGATTGATTCAAACAGAACCACATATTTGAAGGCAGACTTAAAGGTTTTGTGCCCTTTAGAAAGGAAGCAAATTATAAGAGGGACCCACCTATTTTCCAGCTGCATGGGGTGGCGGGAACAGGACAGATAACAAACTAAAAAGTCTACTTACCGCTGCCCCTGCTGGAGTATGAATATGAACAATGCATTTAACATCAGGTCGAGCTGCGTAAATTGCAGAGTGCAAAGTAAAACCAGCTTGGTTTACTCCCAAGTTAGTGCTTCCACGATCAATTACATCTCCCTGAATATTGATTTTAACCTGGGAACAAAAAGAATTAGTTTCATAAATCAATCAAGACCGCCCAAAATCTGATTTAATTCAGCATCTACCACTGAAGCTCTAAAACTGTATTCTTTTCAATATTTTATTTTAACAAGTGTCAAAATGTGCACTGTAAGGCTGCAGGTAGGTGACCAAGGCCCCAGCTTGAGATTAAGTTAAGCTAACTGAAGAGGACATCAGGAACTACTGGATATGACATGAGAAATCGCTGCATGTAACAGGTAACGGTGCAAGAAGCTGACAGAAGTTACAGACAGCGCTGTGACAAATGGCTGCATTTCACAGAGAGTTACGGTGCAGTTATATAAGAAACTTGCAAACTTTACAGATACCTGAAGAGGAGTATTGGGACCTTTTGGGGAGTAGGTTCTTGAAAGGCCAGCACCTAGGTAACCATACCACTGATACCGTAAGGCTGAGATTGCCCAGGTAATAATATTATAAATACCAATTTTGGATATGGATGTAGCAAAACTGGAATAAAAGGGAAAAAGTAATTATGCATGGGTTTTTTATTTGGGAGAGAACATCATCAAAAATGGAGTTTTAAAGTGGAGAAGGGGGGGACAAGTATGAGAGAAATGGAGAGGAGGGTGAGATAAAGGGCCAGTTGTGTAAGCAGGCCACTGATCAGCATGCTCATCTGGATAAGCTATGTGCCTTATCACGGTAGTCTATCTTCTTATTAAATCCTGTTGACAGCTATTTTCTGGGTGAACATGCTCTCTACTGTGTGTGTGTGTGCACACATTTCACTACCCTCATGTAACCTTCGTTCTCAAGGTGCTTACATTCCTGATATAGAGATAAAAGCTGAACATCTCAAACAAAAAACCCCTAAAAAACACAAAATACCCCCACAGCGTGGCCCTTACCCTCTTCCGAAATCTTGTAGTAACAAGAAAGGGCAGGTCTCAGTTTTCATCATTCCTTTTACAATAGCTTTTTTAATTAAAATTTTACAGATGGTTTGGTTTAGGTGGAGTTATGTATGAAGGAGCCAACTTTATAGATAGCTGAGGGGAGTATTGGGACCTTAGGGTGTCAAGAGCAACACAAGTTTGAAATGTTACTACTCTGCACATACTTACCTCACCTCTCTGCTAGAGGTTACTTACCTTACAGTGGTCAGGTGGAAAGAATAGTGTGAATGTTTCTATTTTGTTTCAGCACAAGAGAGTCAATCACATTAACTCAAGTTGCCTTCAGCAGCAGTGTAGGCTAGACTGAAGATAAATGCTCACAAAATGCTTCCCACTAGCTAACAGTTCGGGGAGTTGTGTCTTCAGCTGCAACCATTAGATCTCAAAAATATAATTTCTCTACACCTCAGCTGACACAATGTCTTGAAATTGTAATTGGTTTGCATCACTTCTGTCTAAAACACATACTGTTTCCCTAGACAAGCCTGACTCAACAGCCAACAGCCTTCAAGGGCATGATGTGATTACCTATCCAAATGACCTGTCTCCTCTTCACAGCTAGATCAACTGGTGGCAAACGTGTACAAAGAAATCTCTCTCAGAGATACCTCAGCTGTAGCAAAACCAACCATGCTCAATAAAACCATTCTAAACACGTAACACAGTCAAATATTCTCTAGGACAGAATTTAAATAGTGACAGATAGACAGACAGAGCTATTTAAGTTTTACAGCTGTGAAAAACAGTAATTGCTTACCAGACTAGATGCAGTAACTTCACTATAGAGGAGTCCAAAAGGTACAATGAGGAAGTGCTCCTGCTCAGAATTTACTCTGGCCTTGGATAAAACAAGAGTAAAAATTATCAAGAATATTCTATTAAAGCATACAAGGCCCAAAACCATGGAAGTTACTTTCACTTCCTGAGTATGGAACGGGCAAGTATGCCTATAACATATGCAATATGACTGTCATGTATGCTACAACACATAATCAACATACAACACAGTTAGTTAACTCATATTAAACAAAACCAGATGGAAGATACATGCCAGAGTCCTTCAGACTGGTGGAAGGCAGTAAACCCTTAGGTTCTGTGGTAATGACAACTATATTACTGTCGATAAAAGGAATGATACTGAGAGAAGTGGTGGGAAAATAAGGTACTTTTTTTTTTAGAAGAATAAGTTTATACTCCAACTACACTTCTGCCCCAGTAAAACAGAAGGTATGAAACAGAAGTATGTGAGAAAATGCAAGAATCTGGCCCACAGATCTAAAATATCTTGATGCTGAGAAGGGTTTAATCACTGATGCTGGTGCCATGTGAGACATCTGTGAGCAGCAAAGCACACTTGTACGTTTTCTATCACGTATCCTGACCCTCACTTACACTTTTGCTCTTGTGTCTAATTCACGCAATCAGGAGTTTATAATACAAAACAAATTCTGACTTCAGAACATTCACATCTTGGAATTCATCTGTTTAAAGTTTGTACAATGAAAACTACAGGACAGCTAGATCATTTAGGTGTCTCTCCATGAAGAATTAAAAGGCTTCAAATGTTTTACTCTGAAACAATTCCCTATCTTGCTATTAGTTTACCCAGTTTTTTGTGGTTTTTTTTTAAATGTTTTTTTAAATTTTATTTATTTATGAGTTTTTAATTTCCCTGAGATGCTCCCTCATATCTTCTACTACATGCAACATTAAATACATAGATACTTTGATACAGTTCTACTGCAGGGAAAAAAAGTTTCTAAAACAGTTGATCAGTCATCCAAATGCTTCTAGTACAAATCTAGCTTCTTTTACAATCAGCTGGTAACATGCTGTAGTGTAAGAGCCTTAAACTGCACCAGTCAGTTTAAGTTAACTTGTACTTATGAATCACCAAATAGTTCACCATTATATAAGTGTAAGTGATCTAGACTATCTTTTACTTTTTTATGCAAGACGAAGAACCGGTATTATTCAAAATGCCCCAAAAGCTAATAAGAAAGCTCAAACGTAAGACAAGCAAGCAGGGCGACTCACAAGCCACCTTACTTTAGGATTAGATCCAATAAACAGCTTGTGGCCTGAAAGGAAACCAAGACCTAGTGAACTTGTGTACCTTCCGTAAACCAGTAATCTCTAATTCTGCCTGACACTGGAGGCATCCCAGTTCGCTCCACATTATTGTACTTGACATGAAAGGTCTTGATGCTCCATAGTTGTTTCTGCATCAGGACTACACCACTCTGAACAACTCCACACACAGCAGCGGTCAGTGCTTGATAAGGATCCAGAAAAGCAAAGATACTCCACCCAATTCCCTGATATGCCCAGATTGGCATACACTCTCATATCCTCAATTCCTTTCTCCTCTAACACACAGGCTTATGCCCCTCACAGAAGGCTGCTGTATCTTTTCTTTTAGGAAGTGCACTTGCAGCTTTTAACTTGAATGCAACCATCGAGTAATTATAACATCCACACACAAAAAACTGAAAACCTGGAGTCAAATTCCAGCTCTGCATGAAGGGGCAGGCATTCACCACATTCCAAAGGAGTGCCTTACTACCATGCTACTACTATATCAGCTTCTGAAGGTAAATTACATCTGTCACCTTTTAAAATGCTATTCACTGGAGGAGTTTGTAAAAGACTCCAGGTGAACTATGACTTGCGATTGCCAGTGACAAACCATTAACCAAGAGCTTTCCGGTACCACTTTGTCCTTCAAAACTGTCTAAAATACTTTCAGAATCTCATATTCCAAGAGCTTTGACTGTCTTACACCTCAACCGGTATCACCATTATCTAATCTTACCGTGCTTCCTCCCACCAAAAGAAAATAAACCCCATTACACCCCAACCACATTCCCTTGCCTTAACCACTTTCCGAGGCATGCCACTCTTCACTACATTTACCTTTTTATCTAAACGCATAAACATTCCCAGAGCTGAACTCTACACTAGAAACCCATCTTCAAACCTGCTTTTTACCGCATTAATGTCCCTTTTACAAAATCAATTCTCGTGTCATGCATGGAAAATCACGAGGCACCACCAGGCTGTTCACAAGAACCATTATGTTGGATATGTTCCCTTACTAAAGGAACTGAGTGATCTAACCAACATTGTCTTGATCCTATGCCTATCCGTATCATTTATTATCTTCATCGGTTCACAAATAATACACTTTGAAATTTCAAAAAGCAGTAATAATAAAATTACCATCTCTCATTCAGACTGCAACTAGAACTGAAAATACATAAAGGACAACCTCTACTATATAGTAAAAAAAACAATTCAGCTCTGTTAGGAAAACAATTGACTGGGTTGCACACCACAGCTGTGACTTTACTCATGAGATTCATGTAGATCATTCTTCTGGCACATAAAACCTCCTTGATTTGACCTCCTTGTCATTATTTTTATGGATGCCAGCAATTACTCAGTCACAAGGAAAATTGTTGGCACACTGCATTAAGCTAAGTAGTTTGCTCATGTTCAGAAATACTATGGCTTCTTTTTCAAAAAGGTTCATACCTTGAATTATAAAATTCAACTGAATGACTAATAAGAAGATATATTAGTACTTAGCAAGAAAATGAAGGCATGACCTTGCAGAATAATACATACAATTATTCAAAGCATTTCAGATACTAAAAGACTGCGTCTTTCAGGAATCTTAACTTCATCATAAGAACTTTAATGTACCCTCTCTTAAGACTCTATTCAGCCTACGGTAGCTGACATTCAAGCTGTTCCAGTTCTTATTCTTGAGAAGCAATGACAAATCTCTTCACTGTTATGCTGCTTTGCTCCTCTTACACACAAAGAGAAAATGACAGATGGGGGAGGGAAACAATTCTCTTGTACATTAAAACAATTGGTCCAGTTATCTGTTGATTCAATACTCACTGTTATATGATTGTAAATAAGCTGAGACCAGCCAAAGAGATCTGCTAATCTGTAGAAAGCTGCCAGTTTACATCGTAACAACTTCTCCCCTTTTTCATAAGCAATGGAATCTGATCCTCTCAGATCATTCACCGGTGTCACCATGCCAAGACCTGACAAGAGGAAGGAGTAAAAAAAGCACAAGGAGGGTTGCGTTCAACATAGTCAAAACTTAACAACATGCACTGCTATTATAGTGGTTGTACTTATTAGTTTATATCAACATATTAACCTAAGAAATGGATAGCAAAAACTTTAATTACTATAATGTCATAATTTATATTACACAAATATAATTACAGTCTCGGACAAGGTAATTTATCTTTGGTAGACTCAGCATTCATTTCCTTCCTTAATATTCATTAATGCTAGCGCATTCCTTAGCTAAATATTTTTTGTCTCTCTCAAACTAATGATTGTAAAATACAACTTAATTGTTAACAGAATAATGTAACCCCAAATATTCCACTTTTTGAGATGTATAATTTGGTATTCCTGAAAAGGAGAATTATACATCTAAAAAGATGTACACAAGTTCATTTAATTAGGAAACATTAAGTACAAGCTAGAGAGAGGAGGATTATAGTAAATAATGACAAATACTGTAGTTCTAGTTACAGTGCAATTAGAAATGTGGTTAAAAGTAACTACGATAAAGCAGAATCAGGCCATGCTAGTCTAAACTACAGATTCATTTTGGAGCAAGGCAAGGATTTATATTAACTCATCACAAAACCTGTGTGCACACGCATTTGCACATTTTGGCTTTTGTTTTCCTCCTTTGTTTTGCCTGATGGCTTTTGTCTATAGCCTCACTTCACAGAATAAAGCTGCAAATAGCAAAAATAATTAGTTTCTAAAGACTTTCACTGTTACTAGACTACTATTGTTTCATTTTCCTGCAGACGACTCATGTGCTAAACATTAGCAATATTTAAATATTTAAATTTTTTACTAGTGCTGACCTATCAGGCTTACTTTTCAGTTAAGATACCCTACTTGAAATAGTCTTTGATATAAATTACATACATGAATCACATTGCATATCACTGTAGCATTAGAAACCAATAAATTAATGTTTGCAATGTTCCTGTGAGCAGAACAGGATAACATCTGAACTTCACTGCGCTTTTCATTTAATTCACCCTGTCTTCATTTTAAGCCTTTCAAAAAAATGAATTCACCTATTATAAATTAAGGTGTACTCACTCATGTTCAACGCAGCCATTCCGCCTTGTGGTGCTGCAGGGTAGACATTTGGTACATTTGTTGTCATGAAATCTGCAATCTGCTGTAAAGCCAATAAACCTGTTGGGTTCTTCCCCTTCTTAAATTGTTCCTGAATCATAGATTCCAGTTCTTCACAAAAAGCCTAGCAACAGGACATTGCATATTGTAAAGCATGTTCAGATGAACTTCACCCTTCATATACTGCTTCTTTTTAGCACTTAGAAACATCCTATACCTCTTCTGAAAAACAGCCCAGGGCAGAATTAGTGAGTGCATAATGGTACTCATAAATGTTGCTCTCTGGAGCTCCAATGACACAAGTTACTTATTTTTTTGTAAATGGAAATTCCAGTATTCTCTCTTCAAGTAACACCAAAACCCATTGCACCTACTAATAAGCATTTCTGGAAGAAGGAGCAGGATGTACAATCAACTTGAACACAAAACATGAAAGGAAAAGTAGTAGAAGCAGAAAAGAGAAGGAAAATTATCAGTGTGGCTCACAGGGAAATAAGAGCCAAGGCAGCACCCAGGAACACAGGAAGCAATAGCCACTGAATTTTTAAAACATGTTTAAACAAGGGGTTGTTTACTTTTTCCTGTGGTTCTTTTCCTTTTTTTTTTGGTTTTGGGTTGTGTTTTTTTTAATTTAACTTTGAAAGGAAGAAAAGATTTTTTACTATTGCCGGTAGCTGCTGCTTTTGACAAGAGCATTGCAAGTTATACTGAAAGAAAAGTACTCCAATCACTGGGTGAATCTAAATAAAATGGGTTGATTTCACACGGAAAAACTGCAAACATACCACTACATCCCTATCTGTAGTGAAGTTGTGTCATGAAATGGTTTTTACCTAAAGTCACCCATCAGCTATTACAACAGGAACAAATGTTATAAGAGAAATTTTGTTTTGTGTACTTTCTCCCTGAGGGAAACATCTTTAATATTACATTTCAATCATTCATAGTTTATTATTGTGAACCCTTTCAAAAAGAGATATTAAAAAATATTTTATATGTCAGAATCATGTGGAAAAAACTCAGTACAGGACAGAACAGCGTTGTATAACCTAATCTTAGAAGAGTTACTTAATTTAAGTGTTTAAATGAATACTAAATATATGAAACAAGTTAAAAAATGTCCGACTAGGACTAGATGTTGAAGATTACACAGAGATTTCTGAAAGCAAGACTGAGGTGCTGCTTCATGACTAGACAATATAAATTCAACCAGGTAATGTGCAGAAATATTAGGCTACAATTAGGATACTTTAGAAAAAAGGCCAACTAGAAAAAAGATCAAATGGATCTAAGATACCACAAATTTCTCCAATTCCATAGGGATATTTAAAACAGAGATATTAAATTTATAACTTTAAAGTTGGAGCATTTTATTTTCTTACTGGGCTTTGAAGAATCATGGAGACTCTCTTCTTCTGTTCCATCATGTTAAAATCCTGGCGAAGGTCAGGTGCCATATTCCTCTCCCTCAAATAATCTGGATTATTTTCATCAACTCGATCAAAATACCTCTCTTTATGAGGGGCTGTCGTCGGAGGTGGTGAAGTCACCACCCCCACATCAGAATCACCATTCATAGCACTGTTTTAAGGAACCTGTGAAGAAGGGTAGAGAAGAGCAACAAATAAATCAATCAAGAACTTCATACATGTTTCTTGTTTCAGTGTTAACAGTTCAAATCTATCTAAAATTAGCATGGTTTCCCAAACACAGAAACCATGTTGATGCAATTGGGTAGCAATATTTTAGAGGAGAAAAAAGATTTAAAATACAAGATTAGAAAAGTAGACTAACATATATGCAAAGTCAAATACGCTACATACCTACATGCTACACAAAACTAATACAGGAGTCCCATTTAAACTACCTCCAGTTCTTTAAGCTGTCTACACAGCTCAATTTTCAGAGGCATGGAAGTCCTTCAAACCTTCTCATAGACAATGACAGAGAAGTTCAAGACATGTGACTAGGTCTAAACTCATTGGGGGGTTTTTTTTGGTTTTGGTTTTGCAGTGTTTTTAAACTTAAAAATTTAAAGCAGACATAATGAAAAGAATATTGCACAAATCAGAATTTAAATCATTACAGAAAATGGGATATTACATGTTTATTGATATGAAGAATCAACCCCACCAAAACACGCTCAGATTGCGAACACATTTTTGGAGACAAACTCAGAAATGCTGACTCTACAACTGCGTTTTTCACAAGTATGTTTATTTTAGGTTCATTCAAAAACATGCACATCACTACATTAGCATGTGGGTTTTAGGAAAGCACACACACACAGAGCCCACACCCACTGGCCAGGGTTCATTTCAGTTTTACATGTTGTAATCAGCAACTGCAAGCACCTATCAGAAAAGCTGAAAACTCAGTTGGTAATGCTCATACACACATCCTTTTTTCACTCACAAGAATCCCTTTGAGTAACTTTATCCCAGTTTTCTGGGCACAATATTATAATCTTCATTTCAAAATATTTTTTTAAAGATTTTTTTGAAGTCTTCCACTGACAAGCAACCAGTTCAATAAAACCACCATGGCAACACCTTTAAACTCAAACCTCTGATTCCTGATCATCTGACATATCAACTAAAATCAAGCTTTTTCAGAAAATATTTATTTTCTTTTAATATCACACATGATTAAACAAAATGTCACTAACACAAATTGAACTTCACTAAAGTGTAATAAGAATATTTAACTCCGAAAGGCTTGCCAATTCAGCAAACTCCAATTATTTACATTATAAACAAAATATGCAAGGCTGAAATCCCTTGCCATGATGACATTTAGCAACATTAAGAAAATGAGCCAAGAAAAACTAGTAGGTCTTTTCCTGGAGATGGAAGAATAAAGAGAATAAAGTAGCAGAATCTAGATCCCTGTCCCAGTAAGGCAAAACAGACTAATTTCAATAATGCTGATTCAGATTTGGGGTTCGCACAGTAAGGAGAACCCTGATTTAAACAGTCAATTTCACTATGCATCTTCAGTTTTGCAAGGATTAGTACCATCAAAATCTGCTGAAATCATCAAGTCATTGCAATTCTTTTTGCTATGTAGAAGTAAAGATTGTTTATATCTTAATTTAAGTAATGATTAATCTTTTACATGTTATAACTAGTACATTTTGATCTATGTTTCTATTTAGTATTTTTAGGTTCTTCTTAGTGACTCATCTTAAACTTTACTTGCCTGTGGATTTTAATTTCATTAGGAATTTACTTGCATATTTATTAGCCAAAACCACCTCACATGTGAATCCACACAGAAAAGGCAAGTTTACAAAAATTATTTTGAAATGCAGATTATGTTAAAATCATTGCAGTGAAGAAAGTTATCTACTGCAAGACTTCAGAACTAGCACATCTTTAATTCTTACATTAGGAAACAAGTTTCAAAACTCAACTGGTTTCTTATTACAGAATGAACAAATCACTGAACTGAGACAGCTGAACACAAGGAGCAACAGTATTTTCCTTGACTCTACAGAAGAGGATACTACCATAAAAATTTATGTTAGCACTCAAGACACTCAACTTTTAGATGCTCAGTGACTCCCACCCACAGAATTTGCTAAATAAACATACGTAGACACCTCTGCACTGTTTAAAGTATTTAATTTTAAATCAATCAGTTTAGGCTTTTAGAGTCATGGTTGGATTTTTTTTTCTTCCTTTAAAGCAAGCACATACACACATCTTTATTATTATAACTTCTTTTAATTACTAGCTTTCCTCTACCCAGGAAGAAATATAGGGTATAGGGAGAAGAAATTATGCTTTTATCTGCAATGAAAACCTTCTAACAGTGAGAAGAAATAATGCTTTTATCTGCAATGAAAACCTTCTAAGGTAGACTTGGAAAGTTTTAAAGAAGTGAAGCTGTAGCAAAGGAGCCACATCTCCTTTGGCAGCTGCTTGGAAAGTTTTAAAGAAGTGAAGTTGTAAGCAAAGGAGCCACATCTCCTTTGGCAGCTTCAGATCCTTAACACACACCCTTTAAGTTCTCTTCCTCATTGCAACCTTCAGCCTGCACCATCTGCCATTTCATACCCCAGAAATACTTTCAAAGGCCCACTACCACTTTCCACAGCCCCTCTTCTGAGCTCTATCAGCTATCCTGATGCCCCTACATACAGGTTTTTGTTGAAAAATGCCAGTATGCAAATCCAAACACATAGCTTACTCTCTTACAATGGCAGCTCACTTGGTCCAATCTATGTCTGAAATTCACCCCCCTCTGCTTATCACACGGAATCAGAGTTTAGTAACAGTGCAAGGGCAAGCCCACAAAGAAAGACAAACTGAACTGATCAAGCACTTCAGAATTTATACTGCATTCTGTTCAGTATAGCTCCAAATGTGTATTTACTTCAAAGCAAACCATGGGAAAACTATCAAATTCACACCGCAGAGAACAATGGCCCGCTCCTGCCTGCTGATGCATTCAAATTCCAGAATAAATTTAAGTGTAATGTTGCATTCTGTGTGTGTGTAGTCTTATTTAAAGAAGAGTGTACAAGCAGCTGCAAACATAATTTTGCACTTAATTACTGACACTAATTCCATCTTATTTTTAGAGTACCAAAAGCTATTTCCAAATGAATGATACACATAATTAATTTCTCTTCACCGTTTCTTACTCACACTGGAAAGAAGCTGGTCCCTAACAGCCCACACGGGCAACATTACAGTGGGATCACAGTGTCTTGCTAAAGTTGTATTGCTCCTTCACCGAAGTGCAAGATGGCATTTGAGAGGGTCCTGGGAAGCTACTACTGCTTCACCACTATGTAGTGGCAATAAATTAACAGGAAATGGGATGTTTAACATGAAGTGACCATTTTATAGCTAAGGTTAAATACCAGTTTCATAGCTCAGTTTGGAGATGCCTAAAATTAATGGCACCCCACCCTAAGGTTTAGTAATTAACTGTTTTAATGTGACTGTAGTAGTAATTGTTTATTTTAATCGATGTCAGCTACTGATGAAAAAGGTATTGATTTTTGAATTAGAAACTGATGTGTTTGACAACACTTTGCACAAGCCATTGAAATTTATTTATGAGTTTCCTCGGAAGACCTGTAGGCAGTAAGGCATGATGAACTCTCCAGTAAGAGCCTCCGTAGTACAGATACCAATAAATAAATAAAAGGAATATGAACAGTTAAGCTGAGCACACTCTGGGGAATGTCCAACAAATGGTTCGATAAACTGGAAAGCCACACCGAAAATCACAACAGGCTGCCCCGAGAGTAAACAAAGAAAAAATTAAGACCATCTTCACATCCACAACTCTTCAGTACAGACAGTTCCTTTCCAATATAGTGTACTACAGCCCCCAAGATAAGCTGTAATGTCAAAGGACTTTTTTAATGATAAGTGTTTTTATGCGAAAGCCTGTTCTAACACAACTGTGTTAGGAAAAGCCACACCCTTAACTGAAAAAGCCGTGGCTGGAAAACGTAACCGCATAAAAAGCTCTTCTCTCGGAAGCAGCTACTTTCAAATATAAAGAGACGGTCAGAGGAAACAGCATATATTACTGGGGGAGGGGGGAAAAATAACAAAATCCAAGCCACACTTTATAGTAACTGAAGCAATTAGATCCATTCTTCTAATATATACGTACATATAAACACCAGAAATGTCAATAAACCACCACATCAAATGAGAGCCACCGAGCCAACAGCATATTGTATTTATCATGGGGCACGGGTATGCGCACACAAGTAGTACGAACAGGTTGCTCATTAAATACATTTTTTGGTCAGGAAACCAGTCTTATAAAATTTATAGTGCATTTATAGATACTGAGCATTGTTTACAAAAATACATTCTGAAATTAGAATGAATATTTTGTGTTACTTTTATCTTTCAAAATTCCCTTCCCCCCATCCTCTTCTAACCCCCCAAATTTCATCACAGGATTCACCTAAGAGGAAGTGGTGTTAGAGAGTTTATTTTAAACAAAACAAGAAAGTTTTAGAATAGGAATGCCATTGTTCACATTAGCATCCAGAAAGAAGAAAAAAAATCTCAATTTTTAACAGCTTATGTTCCTCAGTACTCAATCTGGAGAGTTAGTTGATGCACATACAGTTAAATAAATTTAAACAGATAAGACAGTGAGTAAATACCCAAGAAGAATCTACATTAGCTTAAGGGCAAACCCTTAAATCTAAAAAATTATATAAAACAATTTTAAAATGCCAACATTGTATTTGGGCTGGAATCTCATTATAATTAATAAACACATTTAAAACTTTAATATTAAACTCATTTCAATACCTGGAAACTGGGATAGATCTAAGTACTTATGCCTCTGGTAGTTTATAGATTCAATGTCTCTCACCTGAATAATCATCATGAACATTATGGGAATCTTGAGAAGATTTTATAAAATGTCTCACCTGTACACCAGCTAACTGCATTTCTTAAAGGAAATTAATTTTTGTAATCACGTAATAGTTGCTTTTGTTTTGTTTTGTTTTGCAATAATTTGTCCCGGGTTATTTTTTGCTCCTCCACACCCAGAGGAAATTGTTTTTACTTTGGCTGCATTTGACGCGATTTGACCTAATCTGAAGACTCTCTGCCACCAAAGGA